TATATAATATTATGATAATTGATTATTGTCCGTAAATGATATTATTAAGCGCGCGATACGCAGATAATTTCTAATACATTAGGTATTTCCTTTTTGGGCATAGTCAAAATTGTCATTTACCATAGTTTTTTAGAACAATTTCCTCTTACATATGCCTCAACGTCTGATGATGTATGTTCTCGTAAATAAATAAAAATTGTAAACCAATTCATACGTATGTTTATATTTCCATGTGTTACCATGTTATCCATCCAGAGTTTTGACATGTATTCCTTCCACGGTGGACGGCGCATGCGCGTAGCCACTTCTACTCTGAACTGGTTGACCTGCGTTCCAGTCAGGGCAGCAAGACTGATCTGTGAAGGAGATCACACAGGGACGTATTTCTAAAGTAAAATGAAGTTAAACTAGTTCTTGATTCGACGGCATTCCTTTGTTTTGCGGCAATTATTTATCTGCGTTCGCTGGAGTCACCGACATTAATTCCACTGGTACGATAAAATTAAGATTAACATTATTAGTGGCTGTTCGTTTTTTTGTTTTTTTTTGCCACCTCAGAAGTGTAGATTGAAAATTTTCGGGCGTGTTACCCATGTGTGATTGAGCGCAAATGTTTGTGTGATATAAATAATAGGATATTACATAATAAATCTGAACTCAGTATTAAGGCATCGTTGACGTGCTATGCTACACTTTTTAGGAATCGTGTGCAACTTTTTTTACTTTAGCTATAAGAGAGAGGGAGAGAGTGAGAGAATAAGACATGTACTTGTTCTCACTGGTTTAATTAGAAAAACTTGACTGGCATTCCTGAATTACATTTGAACTTGGTGTTAATTTACCCTCGTGGTTCGAGTCACTATTTATCGCACTTTTAATTATAGCCTGTTGGGAAGTCATTGTGTAGAGAAGGTAACATTAAGCTTACGTGAAATACGGATTCGAACGCCTGCCTCGCTTCCTCGTTGCGGTTGTCTGTACCCCACCACGTCTCTGACGCATCGATGACGTCATCGTCGGGGATCATGTCCATGGTGAAGAAAACGTAGTCGCCTTTCGTCATGCCCAGGTCGTAGGCGTGCAACATGATATTGCGACGGTCTCTCGCCGGTGTTATGACCATGACGACTGGAATTAATTTTAGATTAAAGGGACTGTTTCTTTCCGCCCCCCCCTAAAAGCTAACAGAGACCTGTAGTGTATAATATACACTATTCTATAGGTATTTGAATTTGAGGAATTTGAGGATTTTCTATTTTGAGGATTTTCTATAGGAATTTGAAAAGACAAAGACCGTATTCACGCACACGATTATATTAGTATACACTAGTGAAACCGCACCTGAATTACCTCTCCGTGTAAAACCACGACCATGATAATTGTTAGAACGAACCAACGTATCGCGCTCCAGACTCACAGATATACAGTGTCTATCTACGGGCTCTGTCGGGTTCTTAGCTGTCCACATGGAAGTGAAATACATAAGGTAGACTTACTGCGTGTGAGTGTCGTTAACTTGGTGAGAGTCTTGATGATGAAATTATCGGAGGGGTCATCCTCGTAGGAGGCTATATGCACCATAGTGATGTTATTCTGCTTGAAAACTGCAGCGAGAATGGTAGAAATACCCAGCAAGAGAAAGCATAGGGTTAGTTAGAACGTTCAGAGCACCGTCTCCATTAGTCCGTATGACAATAGTAAATTAAAACCCAACACGAACGCCATCGTGCAACCTCACACTTATAATATCAGGGCAAATAATGACAAATATTAACAAATTTGTTAATATGTAATGTTAAATTTGTTAATATGTAATGTTAAATACGTTAATAAATTTGTTAATTGATAATTATTGTATTCACCCCTGATAATATCTACGTTGTTCGTTGGTACTGCGCATCTAAAATTTTGTTAGTTTACTGTTCGTATCGCTACGTCCACGCACGCACGCTCAACATGTGTGGTTGTTCTTTCATGCGAATAGACTTCGTGCGTGCGCGCGCGCGCGCTGCCGCGTGTGATGTGTGTGTGTGTGTGTGTGTCGTGTGTGTGTGGTGTGTGTGTGTGTGTGTGTGCGTGTGTGTGTCTGCGTGGTGTGTGTGTGTGCGCGCGTACGCTGGCCAGGTGTGTGTGTGTGTTAGTGTGTGTGTTGTCGTGTGGTGTGGTGATGTGTGGTGTGTGTATGATGTGTGTGGGTTGTGTGTGTGTGTGGTGTGTGTGTGTGTTGTGTGTGTGCGTGTGGTGTGGCATGCGTGTGGTGTGTGTGTGTGTGGCGCGCGCGCGCCGCAAGTGTTGTGTGTGTGTGTGTGTGTGTGTGGTGTGTGTGTGGTGGGTGGATGTGTGTGTGTGTGTGTGTGTGTGTGTGTGGTGTGTGTGTGTGTGTGTGTGTTCGTGTTACTATGATTAATACACATTAGTAGTATATAGCCTAGTAGTATTAGTTATTTTGCATTATTTTGTTATGTTTTATTATTTATATTATTTATTTTACCAAGCTTGATAGCTCGCGAGCTGTCGATAACCGGAACCAATTAGATCAGATAAGAACCACGCGACTCTATCCAGCCGTGAGAATTCGTAATGACGTCGAGCAGAAGCTGGCGCGACGCTTTTGAACGGGCTAGGGTTCTCGTCATGGTGCTGTACATGACTATTGTCGCCAAATTCGGGTCGGCCGCCACCCGAGGATAGAGGGGAATGTTCCAGAAAGCAGCTAGCTGGGCACAGGTCTAGCAGCTGCAATGAAAAATGTGAGGAGAAGTATACGGATTTTGATTAGCGCTATCAATTTTATTTACGGGTTGATATATTGCTTCAAATGCGACATTGTCAAAACCATGATAAAATATCATAACATTGTATCTATTTCGTGCACGGTAAAGGGCCGGACCACACTAGGCGATTTAATGAGATCTAATCGGGGCGACTTTATCCGCCCGCATAATATCGCCCGATTCTATCCGCGCGAGTCGAGTGGACCACTCAGGCGATTTATCTGCGCGACTGAAATAATCGATTCCGATGAATATCAAAACCGTTTTAGATCTATCGATTAAATCGGAGTGCGACTAAATCGGCGGCGACTGGACTGAGCCCACTCAGGCGCGCAAATCCATTTTGAAATGTGGGGGGCACCAGTAGCGACGCACGCGAAGGGATGGGGGGTCTGGCCCTTCCCCCGAGAAATTTTTGACATTTAGGACCCCCCTCAGATGCGTTTTCTGCGCGAAGATGGGGGTCGGGACCCCTGGAATCCCCCCCTGTACATCGCCCTGCACACCACACACTACACGAACACACCACACACACACACACACGGACACACACCCACACACACGACACACGACACGACACCACAACATCACACACACACATGCCATTTGGTTTGTGATAAAATTCACGACGAAGGTCTGTCATCATGCAGCTCATAAGATCAAGAAAAACATACAAAGCAGAAAACCAATCGTTTGCGTGTTGAGGCCTGTATCACAAAATATATTAGGTCGCGATTATCTATTCGTTGGTCGCAGTCATATCATAATATGCGCTGTTAGTGATATTTCATCAATTTGCAATGAAATTACATTATTTAAAACGATGCTCCTGCAAGTTACTGACTGTCCTCATTTGCTGTGACATACTGAGCTCCGTGTTCCCAGCTAGGTCCGTTGGAACCCAGTGTCTAATGTGAGTATATCGTCCTAAAGCTTTCATAAACATATCTTGTTCTCTTTGATGATTGTTCTTGGCATGAAGAATATTTAATTATAAGAAAAAAAACGTGGTTTAACAAAAACACGGTACTAAATTTATCGAAGACACATTTTTCTTAAGGTTGTGCAATGATGGCATCTATTATGCTGCTCAATGCAACTTGAACATAAATGAAAGGCTGGCAAATTGAACCAGAAGCCAATCGTTGACCACTGATCATCAACACAATGACTAGACACGAGAGCACTCACGGAGAGTGCATACCTCGCGAGCTGTAACATGTATGTGGTAAACAGCTTGGTCGCTGCGGCTGCTGCTTGGACATGAACGTCCTATAGCGAGCTGCTGCTGACTCGGACGCCTAAGGCGAGCTGCTGCTGGAATCGATGCGCGCCAACGCTACTACACAACGACGAAACACAACGAGACCCGATTACCATGACCTCCGTTCGCGCGGAGGTAAAAAGGTCCTCACTTCACAAACACACACACACCACACACACACACACACACACACACCACACACACACACACACACACACACTTACACACGAAATCATGGCGATCCAAAATCGTGAGGGGACATTTGATATGATGTCCCCCCTCTAAAAATTCGTGGGGGGGACATGTCCCCCTGTCCCCCCCCCCTGGATTTGCGCCCCTGGACACACTAGGCGATTTTTACCGCGATTTAGTCGCCTAATGTGTCCGGCCCTTTACCGTGTGTGATGCGATGGCTACGAACAAGGCTAGATTCATTAATTATTAATTATCAAGTAATTATTATAGACTCAAATACATAGTTTACGGACGTAATAGTAGTAATTCTATTAGTAGGTTAAGCAAGATATTGTAGCCCTTGCTACCAAGCAATATCTCCACATAACTTTCTTTCTCTCCCCCTTTGTTCATCTCTGTTTCTCTCTCTCTCTCTCTCTCTCTCTCTCTCTCTCTCTCTCTCTCTCTCTCTCTCTCTCTCTCTCTCTCTTTCTCTCTGCAGCCCAGCTTCACCGCGTACTTACACAACGAGCAAGGTGGACCGATGACTACATCAACTTTATCCTCGAAATACATCTTCACCATACTGCCGGCTGCTTGCCGGGCGTCGCAGTTCGAATCCCGTGTTATGACTCTGAAAGGAGAGACCAGCGAGTCAGGACCAGCTAGACGCCATGATGCATTACACAGATATCTTATTATTACATTATTATATTATGTTACATTATACATCTGCTGCACGGTCACGTGTTATTCTAATATGCGAAAACAAGGGAACGGCTTAATCAAAAAACACATCGGTTCTGAAGATGAACGCCGAAACATACAACGCACTATAACTATATACTATATCTACGCACACACGCGCGCGCATGTACGCACGCACACACGCACGCACACATACACACACACACACGCACACACACACACACACACACACCGCGGTAAAAAGTTCGCAGTTCGAATATCACGACCGGTATATTTCACATGTACTATTTATTATCATTTCATTTTACTGTTCAGTCGTTTGCGATATCGACGTGCTGCGCTTTTCATTTTATGTAAAAAAACGCAATATAAATAAATAAAATAACAAGAATAAGCAGAAGAGCATCGTTGTTACGAGAGACATTTTCGATACAAGAAAGCAAGCGTCTAGTTACACTCGTAACTATAGTAACGTGAACATGGAACTAACACCTATGCATGTACCTAACACAGATTAAGTAGATCCACGAGTAACAGGACGAGTATAGGGCCTACATTGTAATATTGTGAAATTATGAAAGGTATAAAGGGAAGAAGCAAAGTGCAACCATACTCAGTAATAAATACACTAAATATAATGTATACACTAATTCAATAATGAAATAACGAGGCACTCTCACCCGATTCTGAACTTCGTTCCCAGTGTCGGGTCAGCGTGGATCTTCTCTACAGCGATGGAGACGGCGCTGGCACTGGTTGGACCTCCGAATTCATCGAAGCTAGCCTGCCACGGTATCAGCAATCCCAGCTTGATGGTGATCACCGACGTGTCGTTAGTGTCAAGCGCCACTCCGCCGCCCGTCTCTATCAACTTGCCGTAGTTTGACCCGGCGCGGACGAGCGTGACGATGACGATAGGCAGTAGGGCCAGCACCTTACGCCACCGTCTAACCTCCATGTTAGTGTGTACAAGTCAAGGCGCAACTTGTCCGATGGTTTAGCTGCTAGCAGGATGGATAAAAGTAAAATATTTTTAGTTGAACCAACCTTTGATGTGTACTGGACGTTGGTAAAAGAACTTTAGCTGATGCATACAAGGTTAGAGGGACTCGTACATTTACTCGTAGAATTACATGAAATATCTTGTGCATACGCAGAAGATAGGAATATTAGTTCACGCATATATTGAAATGTTAGATAGTTTACATATAACTAGGCAATGTTGTCAGTTTACGGATATTCAGAAAATTATGATAGCTAAAGCAAGGTTAAAAGATACAATTTATTAATTTGTATCATTAGAAAGTGTTTAGCTTGCGTAAAATCTGAAACGATTGAGGTTACATTAGAGAAAAACATCTTATGCTGACGTGGAGTAAAAATGATTGTTCTAATACGTATAATTAAAAAAAGATTTATGGGTAGAGATAATTACAGTAGAGAAGAGAGAGTAGAGAAAATATGTTTGTTTATACGTATAGTTGGAAAGAATGTACGCCCACGTGTAGTGCTAAAAGAACTACATCAGATTAATACATACACGTACGTAGTTAGAAAGACGCTTCTCTTGCAGAGTGTTAATGTGGCTGTGTGTCGAGAGCACACAACCGCTGTACGTAATGAAATCGAGCCGAATTTCTTCAGAGATCTTGATGATAGTTTACGACGAGAAACGTCCGAGTGTCCAGACCTGACCACGACTGTCGTGGAGTCTGCGTGTACGTCGGCTCACGGCTAGCAGAAATGCTGCGTCGTGTCGTAACAGGCGTGACGTCATTATCACATTGTTTACCGAGTCTCGGAATAGCGTTCCAATGTTCAAAACGAACGACCGACGATGATCGATTGATTGGTTCGTTAATTCGTGGCCGGGAGGTAACCGAGAGTTCAAACATCGCTCTATCGACTCACCTCCGGGCGGACATCTATATTGGACTATCAGTTTACTTCGCCAGCGGTGCGTTAATAGAGAGAGAGAGAGAGAGAGAGAGAGAGAGATGAACGGTAGCTCTCGTTTTAGCTCGTGTATGTGATGCGTGAGCCGCCGCCTGAACCATCACGATTCTATGAGCAAGTCATCCCCGTTACCATGACACACTTCTCCATATATCTATATATATATATATATATATACAGGCCCGTAGCCAGCTTTGTATTGGGGGGGGGTTCGTTTTTCAATGTTGGCAATTTGCTCGGCAGG